AGAAAGAAAGAGATAAGTAAGAACGAAGATTTAACGATAGCAAGGGTAGTACAATGCAATGCTTTGAATTTATGTGAGAGTTGCAGCTAAACTTCATTCCTGAGAAATAATCTTGTGGAATTCCCCTTTACAGCTCACGGGCACTATACGGGTTTGCTACGCTTTCGTCGAAGTTAAGAATTAGTAACTATTTACCTGAACTAACTACATAGCAGTGAAAGCGTCTCAAAGCACTCAGTTCTCGTCTAAAATGTCGGTTTTTTTCCTACAGCAGCTGCACAGACTCGATAGGCCACTGATTTCCTAGTTCTGACTAGAGTGTGGTACACTGGACATTACATTACATCCCAATGGATTTCAGTGGAAATGTCGGTTTTCCATCAGTCCCTCTACAAAATACTGGAGGAAAATTTCTCAGAGAGATCCTTCAACGGCCGGAAGCCCTTTTGTTAAACTGTCTGGTTTCGAACTTTGAATTATCTTTTAGTTTTATTTCTCCATTTATAGGACTTCCGCGCGAGTTTATTGTCTGGAATTAAGCGCACTTTTCTCCACGAAAAGGTTCTGTTTCCTCAACGAACCGGTGTTTTTGTTTCTGATAGAGAATAGCGCGATTCCATAGACACTCGATGTCCGGTGAAAGAGACGGCGGCACCTGTGAAACCGGCGCACGCGGCAAACCGAGGCAGCTGCTGAAAATGGCTTGGATGGTGAACGCGATGAATGGGATGCGGAAAGAGAGAGAGGCGAACCGACCGACATATGCTAGACAACCTGTTTTCTCCGAATAACCCTTTGCACTCATGTACTACGGGTAAGTTCTGCCCAAACTACCTTTCTCTTTGTTCAGTGGAGTCACTCAAGAAAGCGTGCCGGTGACCGGGTAAGGCCAATTAGATCTATGCGTCAACGATCGCGAACAATCGGGTCCAAAGGTGAGGAGGAGAGCCTGAGTCGCACATCCCATTTGGCTTGTCTAGCTGCCATCCCGGTCATATTTACAACTGGCTCATAAACAGTAAAAGTGTGCGGAAGTACGATGAAACGTATGCTATGCTAATTTACGGTCAACACCACTGCTCTTTTAGGTCAACTGCCATCACTACCGCACATATGTGCCACCAGCAGCCGGCAGCAACACAAAGCATCGTTTTTCCTTAAGGCAAAAGAAAAGCGTGCAGCAGCTTGCCATGAAACCCACGCAGCCTCTGGCGCACTTCTCTGATCCATTTTCAACGCGGCTCTTCTGCCATATAAAGCGCTCCTCCTAAGCATACGAAACTATCCCTCAGTCCAATTTGAAACACCCTGAAGTTTAGCATGCGAAACTAACTGTTGATCAATGTCAATTAGTCTTAGGAAGTGGTATCAGTATCGATACATGCAAAGATCACCTACGTTTATCACACTGCTCGCCAGACCATCCTTCTTGACAGATTCGCTTTCCTTCAGCGTCGCATGTGTAACCAACCGACCCTTTACAGTAGCGTTGGCAGCCGCTACCGTAATAGAACCTGAGATTTGGAAAATGAGCGTGTAGAGAGAGAAAAGAGAAAAACGTGAACTTACGGATAGACAGTGACCGCAAAGGCAAGGTCTAAGTAATCAGATGAGCCCTCAGCTGGAATGAACTCTGTGCCCACGACAAAACGCTCTTTGGACGTGTTGTTATAGAGCGACACTGAAATTCTCCAATGGTAACAATTCCACCCGTACTTTCTTAAAGTTTGATTGGTGTCAAAAGGAACTAGGTCAGGAGTCTCCTGCTTTCATGAAGGCTGTATATTTTGCTTAGAGTAGTAGTTGATTAACATTAGACTAATGAGTGTAAAATATTGTCTCAGGAACAATTCACGATGTAAAGGCCATCTCGAAACGCTGAGCCGAGAGGAGGAGATTAGAGCCTCGCCAGGAATTGAACCACCTTAAGCTCACCGTGTACCTTTAAGGTCGTTAGCAGAAGAAAAGTGCCGGTAACGGGCTCGTAACACGGCCACATGTAACCCTCTGATTCCAGGGTGACCTCTGTTCCAAGAACGTCTCATACTACCAAGGATTTTAAAGTAGTATTAACTGATCAGCTGGAAGAGCACTCAAGGAAACGTGGGCTCGATTTTCGATTCCTTTCCTAGCAGTGGCATAGAAAATACCCGATCTCCTTCCGTTCTGCACACATTGCACACACAGTAGCCACTCATTTTTCCTCGTGATGGCCTGGGCTCGTGTTTGGCGCACGCCACTGTTTGCCAAGAATGATAGTCCATGTTCGGAACAACTCTTGCTGATAACTCATCTTCGACTGATAACTCAGAGCAATCAATTGCGCACTTTATGGGCCGGATGCTCCTCCTGGAGAGGTTATGCCAAAAAGCCCTTTCAAACTCATTGATACCACTCTCCCTACAACATGTGGATAAAGTCGGCAACAGTATTCCAAAAAACCTTCTTGAAAAACAGTAGCAGGTTTCCAGGAGTTTTAACTGACTGACACATTTAAAGGGTCTTCTTCCTCACAACGGAAATGACGGCAGCGCCCGTCGTAAAACCGCGCAGCAGGTGGTTTACCTACACTAATACGGTACCGTCGCCATAAAGTACAGATGGAGACGTTATCTCGCAATCTTAGTTGACACCTAAGCAAACGGATGAGCCTTTAATAATGCCGATGGCAAGTTGCCAGTTCATGCACGTCCCATGCAGATAACGTATTGGAGGCGACAATTTACGTATTTGGCACGCGTATGGTACGGTAGTGACGGCACGTAGTTACTGATCACTGGATCACTAGTAGCTCAACATCTTTTTCAGCTCGATGAGATCATCTCCCTCACGGTAGATGGGAGAACCCCCCCTACTTGTAAATGGTGCCTTATTCAGGTTTTAGACCGGATAAGGATTCCGAGGGCCACATACGTAGAATTCCCAGAACTGATCGGAGACTTAGAAGTAGACCCTGGCAAACCGTAACTGCCCAGAGTTCCTCGAACCCTACTTAACAATTCATCATCGAACTTGGCTGGAATTGAACCAGTTCTTCTCCATGGAAAGAAACTGCTTTGAAATTGAAATCAAGCAAGAACCAATTTGTGTAGAACCGGAGAACATGCTTTCGCATTCGGCACTGATGACAGGATTTTACGAATGGGAGATGAGGTCACTTGAGCGCTGGAACTTGAGGCCGAAGAGGAACTTGTACATGAACATGAACATGAGCATTTCTGGCTTATTTTTAAGCATCACAAGGTAAAAGCTGAAGAGCAGCTTGGCATCAATTTCGTGCCAGAAATGACCAAAATTGACGATCATAAAAAATGAATTCCAAAAATTGCCATAATCACTAGGAACTTTTGATAGAACTCACCTCGCTCCGGGTCGAGGATCTCTGTGGCGAGAATGAACGTCTCCTGAAAATGATCTAGTTAAACGGTCTCACTGACAATGAGTGCTTTTCAGACAGAACAATAATGGCGTGAGTTAGACCCTAGTTCTCCGCATGACACTTCCTTACCGGGAATGGGAAGTAGAATGGTGTGCTGACCACTCGTTGCTGTTGTGACTGAAGTTGGATGAGTTGCGATTCTAGGAGACAGCTGTCGAGAGGTTTAGCGTGAGGCTTCTTCACGCAAAGCTTCACAAAACATGAACGTGATGAGATGAGCCTTACTTCCAGAGAGCCTGAGGTGGACACCTGTAAAGGTGTGGGTGAGTTGACACACATTGGAAGTCTTTCACCGAGCCATCTGATATGAACTCGGTTAGATCAGCTAAAGTGTATGCCCATTTGCCGAGCACAATTGATATCAATAAATGTATGAAAAGACATTTAATTATCTAAAAACCTCAGATAGCACCACTCACCAACTGAAGAAAACCAGCTAATAGCAGAATGAGGAGAATTACAGAAGAGTACATAGTAGTTAGCAGACGGGACGAGTGTACATACAGAATCTACCTGAAAATGAGACCGAAATCAATAACGGATCGAGATCGAAGGGTGGGAGCAGATCATGAACAAAACGGCATCAAAAATCTGAATATGGCACATCCGGTACGCTTGACCGAAATCGGACTGAGACGATGAGGAGGGCGAAGTAGCTGGAATAGGCGGCCGAGGTGGTGGCACCGCCCCATTCGTCCGTCACCTACCGAGCGCGTACTCTCACCCCTTCACCCGCCCTATGCCTTGAGTACTGCGCCTAATAATGTCTGTATATCGCCGTGACTGTTTGGAAGACTTGCTGCACTTTACATCTGGCTGCGACTGGTAGCAGTCTGAAGCAGGAAAATCCCGGTTTGGATGGGAGGTCTGCAGTGAGCATGTCTTTGGAACCATGAAGACCAAATGAAAAGTTCACCGAAAGGACGAGAACTGTTCTTTTGTAGAAAGAGAATGACAAGAACCAACGCAGAACGTTGAGAAGCTTAAAGGAATCAAATACATAATCATCGAACTATTCAGGATCCGCCAGCCGCTAGTGTTCTG